AAACTTAAAAATTATTGGACTATCTGAAAGCCATGATCACAAAAAGAGCCTAGACATCATCTTTCAAGAAATGATCAAGGAAAACTGCCCTGATATTCTAGAACCAGAGGGTAAAATAGAAATGGAAAGAATCCACTGAACACTTCGTGAAAGAGATCCCCCAAAGGAAAACTCCTAGGAATATTATAGCCAAATTCCAGAGTTCCCAGGTCAAGAAGAAAATATTGCAAGCAGTCAGAAAGAGACAATTCAAAGTACTGTGGAAATACAATCAGGATAACACAAGATTTAGTAGCTTCTACATTAAGGGACTAGAGGGCTTGCGATATGATATTCCAGATATCAAAGGAGATAGGATTACAACCAAGAATCACCTACCCAGCAAAATTGAGTATAATCCTTCAAGGGGGCAAAATGGACACTCAGTTAAATAGAGGACATTCAAGCATTCTTGATGAAAAGACCAGAGCTGAAATAGAAAATTTGACTTTCAGATACAAGACTTAAGAGAAGCATGACAAGGTAAACAGGAAAGAGAAATCATAAGGGACTTATTAAAGTTGAACTGTTTATATTCCTACATGGAAAGAAGATATTTGTAACTCATGAGTCCTTTGTCAGTATTAGGGTAGTTGGAGAGAAAAAAATTATATGTATAGACAGACAGACACGAGATAGATAGATAGAGGGCACAGGGTGAGTTGAAGATGAAGGGGTGATATCTAAAAAATAAAATTAAGGGGTGAGAGAGAATTACACTGGGAGGAGAAAGGGAGAGGTAGAATGGGATAAATTATCTCACATAAAACAAACAATAAAAGGCTTTTATAGTGGAGGGGAAGTAGGGGAAGGTGAGAGGGAATGAGTGAATTTTTTTCTCATTGGATTTGGCTTAAGGAGGGAATAGCATACACACTCAATTGGGTATGAAAATCTATCTTACCTTACAGGAAAATAGGGAAGAAGGGGATAAGAGAGCAGGGAGATGATAGAGGGGAGGGCAGATTGGGAGACAGGGTAATAAGAAGCAAACACTTCTGAGGAGGGACAGGGTCAAAAGAGAGAATAGAATAAGTACGGGGTGAGAAAGGATGAAGGGAAATATAGTTTTTCACAACATGACTACTATGGAAGTGTTTTGCATAAGTACACATATATAACCTGGATTGAGTTGCTTGCCTTCTTAATGAGGGTGGGTGGGGAGAGAGGAAGGGAGAAAATTTGGAACCCAAAGTTTTAAAAACAAATGTTAAAAATTGTTTTCACATGCAACTGGTAAACAAGATATACAGGCAATGGGTTATAGAAATCTATCCTGCCTACAGGAAAATAGAAGGGGAAAGGGATAAGAGAAGAAGGGGTTGATAGAAGGGAGGGCAGTTTAGGGGAAGGGTTATTCGGAAGGCATGCAGTCTTGGGGTGGGGGGAGGGGACAGATGGGAAGAAAATCTGGAACTCAAAATCTTGTGGAAGTGAATGTTGAAAACAAAATAAATAAATTAAGAAATGTTAAATATTTTAAAAAAAGAAAGAGAAAGAAAATAACACCTTAATTAAAAACCACAATTGGCCAAATGGTAAAAGAGGCACAAAAATCCAATGAAGAGAAGAATACCTTAAAAGTCAGAATTGGCCAAATGGAAAAAAATGTAGAAAAATTCACTGAAGAAAACAACTCCTTAAAAAGTAGAATTGGTTGGGGCAGCTAGGTGGCTCAGTGGATAGAGCTCTGGCCTTGGAGTCAGGAGGACCTGACTTCAAATCTGGCCTCAGACACTTGACACTTACTAGCTGTCTGACCCTGCGCAAGTCACTTAACCCTGATTACCTCCGCAAAAAATAAATAAATAAATAAAAGTATAATTGACCAAATGGAAAATGAGATACAAAAATTCAATAAAGAAAATAATTCCTTAAAAATTAGAATTGGGGGGGCAGCTAGGTGCCACAGTGGATAGAACACCAACTCTAGTGTCAGGAGGACCTGAGTTCAAATCTGGCTTCAGACACTTGACACTTATTAGCTGTGTGACCCTGGGCAAGTCACTTAACCCCAGTGCTTAGCAAAAAAAAAAAATAGAATTGGGTAAGTGGAAACTAATGATTCCATGAGACATCAAGAAGCAATAAAAATAAAATCAAAAGAATGAAAAAAAATAAAAGAAAATGTGGAATATCTCACTGGAAAAATAATTGACCTGGAAAATAGATCCAGGAGAAATAATTTAAGAATTATTGGACTACCTGAAAGCCATGAAAAAAAAACAAGAGCCTAGACAGCATTTTTCAAGAAATTATCAAGGAAAACTGCCCTGATATTCTAGAACCAGAGGGTAAAATAGAAATTCAAAGACTCCACTGATCATCTCCAGAAAAAATCCCAAAATAAAAACTCCCAGGAATATTATAGCCAAATTCCAGCCCTCCCAAGTCAAGGAGAAAATATTGCAAGCAACCAAAAAGAAACAATTCAAATATCATGGAGCCACAATCAGGATAACACAAAATTTAAAGGATTGGCAGGTTGGAATATGATATTCTTGAGGGTAAAGAAGCTAGGATTACAACCAAGAATCACCTGCCCAGCAAAACTGAGTAAAATTCTTCAGGGGAAAAAATGGATATTCAATGAGATAGAGGACTTTCAAGCATTCCTGTTGAAAAAACCAGAGCTGAATAGAAAAATCTGACTTTCAAATACAACACTCAAGAGAAGCATAAAAAGATTAACAGGAAAGAGAAATGATAAGGGATTCAATAAGGCTGAACTATTTACATTCCTACATGGGAAAATGATATTTTTAACTCCTTAAAAACTTTCTCATTAAGGTAGTTAGGAGTATAGATACAAGGCAGGTGTGAGTTGAATACAATGAGATGATTATGTAAAAAAATAAAATTAAGGAGTGAGAAAAAGGAATGCATTGTGAGAAGGGAAAAGTGAGAGGCAGAATGGGGTAAACTGTCTCACATGAAAGAAGCACTGTTAGAGTGGAGAGGAAATGGGGAAGGTAGAGGGGAGCATGTGAACCTTATTCTCAGAAGAATTGGCTCAAAGAGAGAGTAACATATACACTCAGTTTGGTATAGAAATTTATCTTACCATACAAGAAAGTAGGAAAGGAAGGGAATAAGAGAAAGGAAGGGGTTGAGGGTAGATTGGGGGAGGCAGAATTTAGAAGCAAAACAGTTTTGAGGATGTACAGGATGAAAGGAGGGAGTAGTAGGATACATAGGGGGAAAATAAGATGGAGTGAAATACAGTTAGTTATAATAACTGAAAAATTTTTTACAGCAAATTTCTCTTATAAAGGCCTCATTTCTCAAATATTTAGAGAACTGAATCAAATTTATGAAAATAAGAGCTATTCTCCAGTTGGTAAATAGCCAGGGGATATGAACAGGCCATTTTTTGGACAAAGTAATCTATCCATGGTCAAATGAAAAGATGCTTGGGATCATTATTGACTGGAGAAATTCAAGTTGGAACACCTTTGAAGTGCCACCATCCCTATCAGAGTGGTGAATATGACGGAAAAGGAGGATGGCAAATGTTGGAAGGGATACGGGAAAATTAAGACACTCGTGCACTGTTGGTAGATCTATGAACTGATCCAATCATTCTGTGGAACAGTTTAGAACTATGCCCAAAAAGCTATGGATACCTTTGCATACCTTTTTTCCTATTAGATCTGCACCCCAAAGAGATGAGAAAAAATGGAGAGGGAGACCTATATATACAAAAAATATTTGTAGCAGCTCTTTTGATGGTGGAAATTGGGGAATGGCTGAACAAGTTGTGGTATGTGATTGTGATGGATTACTATCATGCTATAAGAAATGACAAACAGGATGTTCTGAGAAAAACCTGTTAAGATTTACATGAACTTATGCAAAGTGAAGGGAACAGAAGCAGAAGAACATTATATACAGTAACAACAATATTATACAATGATCAACTGTGAATGACTTAGCTGTTCTCAGCAATACAATGATCCAACACAACTCTGAAAGACTTAGATGAAAAATTTTGTCCATCTCCAGGGAAAAAACTGATAGAGTCTGAATGCAGATCGAACATACTTTTTTTTTTAACTTTATTTTTGGTCTGTGTTTTCTTTCACAACATGAATAATATGGAAATATGTTTTGCATGACTATACATGTATAACCTATATCAAATTTCTTGCCTTCTAAATAAGGAGGAAGGGGAGTGATGGACAGAATTTGGAACTCAATATTTTTAAAAAAGAATGTTAAAAATTGTTTTTACATGTAATTGAAGAAAAATAAATATATAGCAAAGAAAAAATGCTAAAACTGAATAATTACATACTTTTGTGATATAATTTGAAAATATCACCTTGAACATTATGCAGTTTTAGATTACGGACTAATTTTATCTGAGGTTTGACTACTAAAACACTTGTAGCATTACAAAAATGTATAAGTATTCTGAGTAATGGGAATCCATCTTATTCACGTTCTCTTTTTCATAAATGATAATGTGTCAAAATCTGGAAATTCAATTCTTGAAATAAAATAGATATCAATATTTGTTGGGAGCATTTGCCTGTAGAGATAATTACTAGAGGTGGGTAAAAATCATCTGCCTGGCAGATGACTAGGCCTTTCCATTCACCCTGCTGATGTGCCTTCTGGACTCTGACTTCTTTTGCTTTGCTCTCCAGCTCACCAAGTCTTGCCCCATTTGCCTTATCCATTGTACTCTCCAGACTATTAGTTCTTGCACTGTGCCCTGTGAAGGTGTGCTCTCTAGACCACCAAGCTTTGCCATCTGTCCTGTTGTTGCAGCTTCCTCGATGTGCAGTTTCTTCCCTTCTCAAGGAAAAAGACTATATCACTTTTATATTGACATCCCTTGCACTAAGCACAGTGCTCAAGTACACTGCTTAAATACTTGTTCATTCACATTCATTCATTGATTCATCCACAAAATTCAAACTAGATCTTGAGCTGAGATTAGAGACATTACTTACCTTTTAAGGAGATTTTCTTTCATCTTAGCCAAAGAATCCATAGGTTGTTTCTTAGAGGCTTGTGAAATTGTTAACTAAAAGAAAATTTGTAAGTAATTTATTCTTTACTTTCATGAGTAAATGAAAAAAAAAATGACGACTCAACTAGCTATGTAGCCAAAGTAGAGTCCTAAAGTCACTAGGAGACTATTAATTCATGAGTTATATTTGGCTTTCTATGTATTGGAAAGATTCTAAACCCTTCCAATACATAGGGGAAACTGTGACCCTGTCCACAGGTTAGAAAATCTCATAGTGGGAAGGGACTTTAGAGACAATTTAATTCAATCCATAAATTTACTGAGAATGTTTTCTACACGTTCTGGATAAACAGTCATCCAAACTATCTTAAAGACTGTCAGTAAAGGAGGAAGTCAATATATCACCAGGTAGCCCATTCCATTTTTGGACAACTCTAATTAAGAGTTTGTTGGGTTATATATATATATATATATATATATATATATATATATATAGACCTGAAATCTGCTTTAAAAAAATCTTCTCTTTGGGGTCAAGCATTAACAAATATAATCTCTTCCCTGGGAAAACTCCCCAAACATGGGAAGATAGCTATTACATGCCTCTAAAGTTATCTTTTCTTCAAGATAACAACTCCCAATTCTTTTAAAGGATAACATCATCTTATCATTTGACTTTCCTCCTCTGTACATACTGCAGCTTGCTAATATCTTCCCAAAAGGCAGAGCTAAACAGAGCTTAGCACTATTGTCCAAATGTGATCTGACCAGGGCAAAGTAATGGCCTTGTTCTGGATACTATAATTTTATTAATACAGAATCAAAATGACAAACTCTCAGAATTAGAAAGGACATCAGAGGCTATCTAGTTCAGCTACTACCTGAATAATTTCCTCTAAAATATGCCCAAGAAGTAGCCAACCAATTGGGTAGCTAGGTGGCACAGTGGATAGAACACCAACCCTGGAGTCAAGAGGACCTGAGTTCAAATCTGGCCTCAGACACATAACACTCACTAGCTGTGTGACTCTAGGCAAGTCACTTAACCCCAATTGCCTCACTCAAAAGAGAGAGAGAGAGAGAGAGAGAGAGAAGTAGTCAACCAAACTTTGTTGGAAGACTTCTAGTACAGAGAATCCCACCACCTCCCAAGGCAGCCTATTCTGCTTTTGGATAGTCTGTGAATAATCTTTTCCTTACATAAAACCTAAATTTGCCCCTACCCCCCCCTTTTTTTTTTGCAACTTCTGCATTTGCCAATCTTTGTCTGCCATCTTTGTCTTCTGTGAACTTCTGGCTTTTTCTACTGCTAGTCTTCTACCTACATTGTAGCTACCTTCCATGGTATCTAGTTTGGTGCATATAAAGAAGTAATTTTCTCCTTTACTCTCCTTTTGTCTTAATAGCCCCTACTAGATGTACTCTATTCTTGTCCAGTAGCCTGTCACTCCTATATTTTAAACCATAGTTTGGAAATCCAAATCTTATTCTCAGATTCCATCTTTTTAACCTGTTGTTCACCACTTCCCAAATCTGCTTTTTTTTCCCTTCTAAAGCTTTTACCTATGATGAACAATAGTGATTAAACACATTACTTCTTTCCCCTCTTCTTCTCCTTGCAAAACATTTCATCTACTTTAGCAACATTTCTGAGATTTCTTTTGGCAATATTACATGTGCTCACACGAATCACAAGAAGTGAGTTTATGTCAAAGTGATTATCAAGTCTTGGGAGATTCTCTCATGGCCTGGTAAGACAACAGACTTCTCTATCACTGTTATTAAATTGACAAATAGATGCCTTGGGAGCCCACAGTAGGGAGTTATTTCCCCTAACTATTCTAGCCTACTTCTTCTGTCCCTTCCTAGAAGTTCTCTCCTCCAACAGCACGTACGGATTCACATTATCATTTTTTAGAAATCAGTTACTTCCTCCTTAGAGGGACCAGCTGCCTCTTGTGGAAGTCTCATATCTCTTAGGTTCCGTGATTTTTCTTTGCAATTTCTTCCTGTTACATTCATTCGTGCTCCTACCTCCTCACAGAAATCAGCATTTTTCTCTGCCTCTTTAGAAACTTTATCTTCTTTGTTTCCACTGGAAGTGGATCTCCCTTTTATGTTTAAGCGACACTTTATTCTCTTTGCTGATCCAGACAGTGAGTAGGCATTATTGAAATCCCAATATCACACTTCTAGGAAGGAGACCAATCTACACTTTAAGCTTAGATTGGCTGTGGCAGAAATATGAGCTTTACGTTCTTATTTGAAGTGAGATCCTCAATCTTTTCTCATTCTTGCTAGTAGCTCCCCTAGAGAACTTGATATCTTATTAGCCCTAAGACCTTAGCCGCTTTTTTGAGCTACTAAGTCTGACATTTGGCTTATGATGAGTTCCAGCCCACTAAAATCCCCAGATCTTTTTCATATGAACTGCGGTTTTCACATTTCCCAAACCTATACTTGCTCCATTCTGCATTTGTTTGGCTCACTGATAACCCAAATGTAGGGTTTTATTTATTCCTATGGAATTTAATCTTATTAGATTTAGCCTATGGTTCTAGTCTATAAAGGGTTTTAGAGATCTTGATTCTGTCATCTAACATATTAACTATCCTTTCCACATTCATACCATTCACAAATTTGTCTGATTCCTTCTCAATGCCTTCATTCACCAAATCAGCAGCCTGGGAGGTGAGAGAAGCCCTGTGTTGGTGCCTTGGTACAAAATTCTAGTTTTTTCACGCTAGTTCTGGCTCTGAACCCCACTACCTAATCCCTGACTTGCTTAAAGAGTATGGAAAAGATCTGGACCAGTCCACATTGTGGCTTAAGCTATAATAGCAGAAAGGGCCAGGGCATCATTTGGGATGCAAAACACTGGAGTTCTTTCAGAAGGCCAGCTACTAACATAATCAACAAGATTGCACTAAGGCCTGATAGGATCTTGGCAAGGAAAGAAGCCAACTATAGATTCGTGGTGGTGCAAAGAGGAGACAGAGAATGGACCGTGGCCAGAACCTAATTGGAGCCATCAGGAGACTGAACCAAAACCCAAGAATTCCTTCATGGGCTGGGGCCTAGTCTTAACCACTGCATCCATGACCAATCAAGGTTTTCCCACTCCATCCAAGAGTTTGGGAAACTACGTGAGTCTGACCAAAGAAAGCCCCAGTACAAAAACTGAAGCTGGATATATGAGTTAAAAAAAAAAAAGAAAAAGAAAATGCCAGAAGGAAAAAACAAAAAAACAAACCAGACACACATTGAAGAAGTACTATAAACTGAGATAAGCCCAAGAAGTAGAAACCTAGAAGAAGAAAGTAACTCCACTGGTCCGAGGGGAGCCTCGGAAAAATAAAAAACAAAAATCTTGGAACCAGCTTCAGGATTTTCTGTAGTTCTCACTGATGTTCAACATTTAGGGTGAGTCAGAATCTTATTATAGAACAGTTAGGTGATACTCATAGATAACTAAGGCCCTCCCATCCCTCCACCTAATTTAATGTTTTTATGTTTTTACTTTCCACTTCCTTTTTTGAAGTTGTTAGAAATTCCTCCCTGGTATCTATTATCTTGCCTTTTTTTCTTTCACTCTAATCACTGATTAAAATGCTAAGATGAATCTTTCTCCCACGTTTCCAAGCTTTAATCTACAACTATTACTTCCGATCTCAACGGTCAACTGAAATTGCTCTCTCCAAAGTTACCAATGATAATAATAGCAAGTATTTATATAGTGCTTTAAGGTCTGCAAAGGGCTTTACGAATATCTCATTTTTTCTACCAAATGCAATGGCTTCTTTTCAGAACTCATTCTTCTTGACCTCTCTTTAGCCTTTGACATTACTGACCACCATTTTCTCCTAGCTACTCTCTCCTCTCTACATTTTTGTGACACTAGTCTCTTCTGGTTCTCCTCCTATCTGGATCTGAGTGTGCCTCCTCAGTATCCCCACACACCAGGTAAGTACCCTGAGGGAAAAGCATATCCTAGTTGGTATCCTAGGACAATGTCATAGTCCCTGCATACTACTTCTGACTCTAATCCCTCCCATCTCACCCCTAAAAGTCTGAGTTGCTTCAGACATATTGGAAAAGGTCTGGAAATCACTCCACAGCTTCAAGATTAACTATTTTTCACTAATGTTCTGTAGGTACTGAGTCAGAATCCCACCACAGATTTACTTAGGTGCTATTCAAATGTAGTTATAGCCCTTTCCCCACCCCTTTTAATGTGGCTGGTTGCCGATTAGGTTGATTTATTCCTTTCATCTTCCTATTTTCAGGCAACCAAAATAGGAGATCTTTTCTGGTATCAGACTCACAAAGAAAGTATAAATTGGTACAGACTGAGGTTAACTTATTCCAATTCTCATGGTGGTATCTGGTAAAATCTTTGACCTTCAAGCTACTGTAGTCTTTGAGTGACCAACTGAGCTGCTGGAGAACACATACTCAGCAAGACTGAATAGTAATTGCTAAAAGTTCTATAGTACCTTAAGGTTTTAAAAGAACTTATCCCAACTCTGTGTGGTGGCTACTTACAGGTATTATTATCCCCATTTTATAAATGAGAAAACCAAGGGTCAAAAAGTTTAAGTGACCCACAGCGGTCCCACAGTGACCAAGTAAGAAGACACTCAGGTCCTTCTGACTCTAAGTCTAGAATGTTCTTCACTATTGCACTGGAATTTATCAGGAATTATTTGAAAATGACTACAATATAAAATATTTATAAAGTGATTTATATAAACTTTACAAATATTATCCATGTAAATCTTTTGCATAATAAATTTGTTTTGTTAGCATACTCTCTTTTTAATCCCCTAGGAATTCTAGAGGACAAATTATTATATCATGACACACACTTTAGGCTTGGGAATGCCATTTAGGGAATATAGCAAATTTTGGCCTTGAAAAATCTTCAAATAAGATTCAGAGTTCCTTAGTATTGTATTTTAGTATCTCATAACTTTAAGTTGGGAAGTCTCCAAAATGATTATTGGAGGAGATTAAGGGGGAGGAAAGAAATTTCCATGAGGAAGAATCTTTTA